ACACTGCAGCGCAGCCCAAGCGCAGTCGCTGCTTACTGCGCAGTTAGCAGAGCGCGGGCTTATGCATGCAGAATGGAGGGTTCAGGGTATCTCCTAGTCGAGCAGTCTCGACTAGAGTCTTCTTACTTGTTTTATATTGGGAATCGCCAGTCCCGCGCCAACATGGAGAAATGCCTGATCGCTGCTTTGTCGGCTCTTTGCCTGGCGACAGTTGCTCGATGTGCGCCACCTGGATTAGACCCATTCAATTTTGATGGCGTCGATTTCTATCAGCTCTTCAACGATCCAGATGGACACCTGAAGCTGAATCCTCGACTTAAAACGGCAAGTAGAAACCTACATACATGCGCGTAAGTAGAGAGCTTACGATGTTACTCCACGTAGGATGATCTCATTAGGGCTCATGAGTACCCTGCAGAGCTGCATCACGTGACCACCGAGGATGGCTACATCATTGGAGTCTTTCGCATACCCTACTCCCACAAGCTGCAAAATCAAAAGGCCCATCGCCCCATCGTGCTTCTGCAGCACGGCATATTGGGCAGCTCCGACAACTGGATCACGATGGGGCCGGATAATGCTTTGGCTTTTCAGCTGGTCGATGCCGGCTACGATGTGTGGATTGGCAATGCACGTGGCAATACGTACTCCCGCAATCACACCTGGCTAACCACGCAGCATCCCTACTTCTGGCGCTTTAGCTGGCATGAAATCGGCTACTTCGATATTGCGGCCATGATCGACTATGCCCTGGCGACAAACGGACAGGGTCAGAAGTCCATTCACTATGTTGGCCACTCCCAGGGCACGACAGTGTTTCTAGCGCTAATGGCCTCACGTCCCGAGTACAATGCCAAGATAAAGACCGCTCAGTTGCTGGCTCCCGTGGCCTACATGGACAACATGGACTTTCCGTTGGCACACGCGACCGGACCATATCTGGGACATCGAACCAGTTACGCGCTCATGTTGGAGTCGATGGAGTTTCTGCCCTACAATGACTTCTTACTGCTCTTACTCTACAACACCTGCGGACCGGACTCAAGATTTCTCAAATACTGCAAGCAGTTTCATAGCACCGACGGACGCACCAATTCGGTGAGCCTCAATCAGAAATCGAAAGATATCATATTGAATATATATATTTTTTTTTTCTACAGACTGCCGCTGCGATCAATGCAATAACAACTCCGGCCGGAGTTTCCACCAATCAGTTCTTGCACTATCTGCAGGAACAACAGTCGGGACACTTTAGAGAGTATGACTTTGGCAAGAAGAAGAACTTGATTGTGTATGGTGCGGAAGTGCCGCCTGATTACCCAACCCATCTAATTACCTGCAAGACTCACCTGTGGTACTCGGACAACGATGAAATGGCCGCAGTTAAGGACGTTGAACGACTGGCGGATACTCTGCCCAACAAAGTGATGCATCACATGGATGATCCACTGTGGCATCATGGCGACTTTGCGACCAACTGGGAGGTACGCAAATACATAAATGATCCAATAATTAAAATTATGAACGAATTCGAAGACACTTTACGCAGTTGATTCGCAAAAGTTAACGATAAGCCATAATTAATAATCACACGTGTAATGATATGTAATAAATAATCACACGTTTTTATTTTCAAAAGCAAACATCAACATTTTATTATTTTATGTACTGCCAATGCTTAAGGCAGGTACATAAACTTGTATT